TTGGTTAGGTTCACTGAAGATATAATTTGGACTGTTATTAAATCATAAGTGCATCCATATCATATATCCCATATCAGATATTGTTTCTTAATTTTCCCTTGTTACACTTCGTTTAGCCAGTGCTTATAGTCACTCACACGCTCGTTTGCTTATTCTCACGCTCTCTTTATCTCCTCTTCCTCCTTGCATTTCCGCCCGTTCAAGTTCAAGCAGACACTCAGGCATTCATGAAACAAAAACCCCGTTGCTTTGCTCTCTGCTCCTCTGCCACTCTCTTTGCTTTACAGCCTATCCTTTTTTTCTAGCCTTCCGCTCTCGCAATCAAACTCTGACTCTCACGCGTCACGCGCTCTCTTTTGGGCATTTCTCACGTTCAAGTTCAAGCAAATATGTCACGTCAATTGTGAAATTGCTTTTAAATTGATAACTGTTGTTACAACACAGTGGGCGGGGAATACCTCACCATACAGAGGGGCACACACGTCAGTAAATGAGAACTTATCAATTGCATACGGACACATACGCACACCGAATATGTCGATTGCACTTAAATATGCATAAATCAATACACGTACCTCTCTTTCGCTTGCTCTTTCTGCTTCTTCCGCTGCCGTTGCTGTTGTTGCTGATTTTCCTTTGGTGGCTCTAACTGTTCAGATTCACTAACACGATGCGTTTTAGCATCATTATTATTATTATTATAGTTATTATTATTTAATTGATTATTTGGCACTTGGTCGGCCGATTCTCTATCTAGCTGGCGCTTTTCATTAGCAGCTAAATTCAATTCACTAGCGGGAACCGCACTAATATATTCACTATGGCTATTTACACTATGCGGTGGCCCTGGTGCCGCCTCCAAGACTTTGCCAGCATGCACTGACGTGTCCCTCCTGCCAGTGGCGGCCACCGCCACCCCCTTGGCTTTTATGGGCTTTTCACTAGTTCTTGGCCGATTGCCATAATCAGACTCCACCAGGGGCCTTTTAGCTGCCGCCTCTGGATTTGCGTCTGTCGTGGCAGGCACCTTTTTCACTGTTCTATCGGGTGGTGGCTCCGGCGTCACTGTGGCTGGTTTTGGTGGCGCCTCCGGCTGATGTCGGTTCTGGGCGCTGGCTTGTGCCGCTGCAGCCGCCGCAGCTGTGGCTGCATCTGCATCTGCATCTGCTCCACCCCCTCCATCACCGCTCTTTGTTTCCGCATCTGCTGCAGCCACATTGTCGTATAGCCAGAAACAGCAGCTGCAATCGGAAACAGGAACTCGAATTAGTGAAACGATCTTTGAATTTCGCCTCAGTCTCTTGCTTTCTTACCTTAGTAGTAAATTTATGTACATGAAGCGCACTAAATGCAGTCGTATGTGCATTTTATAAGCTAACTTTTATCTTTTTTAATTTAACTAATTTTTCGCGATTTTTTTCCCAATTTTCGCACAGTCGCTGTTCACGGCCTCATACGAATTTCCTAAGTTACCTAAGTGTCTGCCGGCTATTAAGACAGATAGTAGTGACGTTTTTTTTATAACACATTTGATAACATTAAGCTACTTAATTTTGCCGTATTCTTAAAAATAATAATAAATTAAAACTCAACGCGCACGTAAAACAACAAAAAATTAGCGGTGTGCAATGTGTGAACAGAAATCTATCGATTGGCTCATCGCACTAAATCATCGTTGAACCGATCGTTTTCCATAACTTTTCACAATAGACGCCGATGAGTTCCGTTTATCGCACAAAAATACCCATAGATTTATGAACATATCAATCAATTACCATCCCTACAGCAGAAAATTCGTAGATTCCGATGCAGAAAAACAAAGAAATTGTATAAAAACAAATTGAAAGCATGTCGTTTCTGCGTGGCTCGGTGAGCTATGTGTGGTGCACCACCAGCGTGCTGGGCAAGGGCGCCACCGGCTCTGTTTTTCAGGTGAGAATGCGTCACTCTACTCCCATTGACCACTTTTCCTATTGTTTGACCCCCATTTTCCGCCATCTCACGCAGGGAGTCAACAAGATTACGGGCGAATCGGTGGCCGTGAAGACCTTCAATCCATACAGCCATATGCGACCGGCTGATGTCCAGATGCGCGAATTCGAGGCTCTCAAGAAGGTGAACCACGAGAACATTGTGAAGCTGCTGGCCATCGAGGAGGATCAGGAGGGACGTGGCAAGGTGATTGTCATGGAGCTGTGCACCGGCGGCAGTCTGTTCAACATACTGGACGACCCAGAGAACTGCTACGGCCTGCCCGAACACGAGTTCCTGCTCGTCCTGGAGCATCTCTGTGCGGGAATGAAGCATCTGCGAGACAACAAATTGGTTCATCGCGATCTCAAGCCCGGCAACATAATGAAATTCATATCGGAGGATGGCCAAACCATCTACAAGCTGACGGACTTTGGTGCTGCACGCGAACTGGAGGACAATCAGCCCTTTGCCTCGCTCTACGGCACCGAGGAGTATCTGCATCCTGATCTCTACGAGCGCGCTGTGCTGCGCAAGTCCATCCAGCGCTCGTTCACCGCCAATGTGGATCTCTGGTCGATTGGTGTGACGCTCTACCACGTGGCGACGGGCAATCTGCCCTTTCGACCCTTTGGCGGTCGCAAAAATCGGGAGACAATGCATCAAATCACCACAAAGAAGGCTTCGGGTGTCATCTCCGGCACACAGCTGTCGGAGAATGGACCCATAGAGTGGTCCACAACGCTGCCACCGCATGCGCATCTCTCGCAGGGTCTGAAGACACTGGTGACGCCGCTGCTGGCTGGCCTGCTGGAGGAGAATCGCGAAAAGACTTGGTCCTTTGATAGATTCTTCCACGAGGTGACTCTCATCCTGCGCAAGCGAGTCATTCACGTGTTCTACACGAATCGAACCAGTTCTGTGGAGGTATTCCTCGAGCCTGAGGAGCAGATTGACAACTTTCGGGAGCGCATCTTCCTACAGACAGAGGTGCCGCTGGAGAAGCAGATTCTGCTGTTCAACAACGAGCATTTGGAGAAGAAGGTTACACCCCGCACTATTGGTAGGCATCGAACCTGCTCTTGGTTTGCATTTTCTCTGAGAAATTTCACCCACAGCTAAAGCATTTCCCGCCACAACGACAGAGCAGCCCATATTCCTCTACAGCAACGATGATAATAATGTGCAGCTGCCACAGCAATTGGATTTGCCCAAGTTCCCAGTGTTTCCCCCGAACGTGTCCGTGGAGAACGATGCCAGCCTGGCCAAGGCAGCCTGCAGCGTGGGACACGAGTGCAAGCGACGCGTGGACATCTTCACCTCCATGGATATACTCATCAAGAAGGGTGTGGAGCATTTCGTGGAGATGCTCATTACGACAATTACGCTGCTAAGGAAGTGAGTTAAGGGAAGATTGATTTGGCAGTGCTTTATTTCATGTCTTCTCCTGATTCTTTTGCAGAAAAACTGAGAGCTTTGACAACCTTCTGTCCACAGTGATTGATTATGCGGATGTGGTCCAAAGCACAGCCAAGGTGGGTGATGGCTTTCGTGTTTTTTTTTCTAGACATTACTTCAAGCAATTTGTTCATCTCTTCCGCAGTCCAAGAGCGATCAGGAGCTGAAGAACCTGCTGAAGACCTTAAAAAATGTCAAGAACGACTTTGATGGCGCCGCCGATGTCATCACACAAATGCACAAGCATTTTGTGCAGGACGATGAGCTCAAGTGAGTGGCAGACTAAAGCTGACCCGTCGAAATATAACCTTGGATATTCCTCTTCCATTTAGCGACCAATGGGCCTCGTCGATGCATGGCAAAAAGTGTCCCTGCCGAACGCGTGCCAGCGCTCAGGCCAAGTATCTTGTGGAGCGACTGCGCGACTCGTGGCAGCATTTGCTTCGTGATCGTGCCACACGCACGCTCACCTACAACGATGAGCAGTTCCATGCGCTGGAGAAGATCAAAGTGGATCACAATGGCAAGCGGCTGAAGGCGTTGCTCTTGGACAATGTGAATCCAGCGGTGGCACAGATAGCCGAGTGCCTGGCCGATTGGTATAAGCTGGCGCAAACGGTGTACCTAAAGACACAGATACTCGAGAAGGATGTCAGGGATTGCGAGCGTAAGCTAAATGGCATACGGGATGAGCTCTATCACATCAAAACAGAACAGAATCTGGATGGGGACACAAACACAATGCACAACAATATACAGCTGCTGAAGCTCAAGGAGCGGAACACGCTACGCGAGATGCAGCAGCAGCAGCAAGAGGTGATGGCTGTCATGAGGAAAAACAGCGAATTAATTACTTTTCTGAGCAAATTGGGCATCACAAATGGCAGCCTGGAGGCAAGTTAGCTTTAAATATTTAACAAAGAGGCTTAATATATATAAACTATAAGGCTACATTAAATACATGCAATACATGCATATAATGGCAGAGTTTTTATTAGGTTTTTAAGCATTTTTAAGAGCATTTTCCTATGGAAACAATTATTTTAGCAGTTGACAAAAGTTGGTCACGATAAATTCCCATTTACTGAAGGGGAACAATGTCCCTTATCCAAGACACGCACCACAAGACCATGGACAATTTCCCACTCTAGCAGGGCGGGGTGGACGAAACGGTAAACCGTTTTGTAATTTTTACATACACAATGATTAGACGGATAAACTTAATATTCACAAAAACAATTAGACCAGGCGGCTTAATTTAAACGTCAGGGCGCTTTCGTGTGAGAGATTGTAGAACACAAATGTATCCAATATATGAAAAATTCAAATACAAATTTTTAAAATATAAGAACATAAAGTACACAGTCTAACAAAAAGAAGTACTTATAATAACCAAAATATATTCTTCAATCGGATTCAATTATTGTTTCAGTTTTTAATGTTTTTGCAAGCTAGTAATAGCAAATAGAACATCAACATCGTGGAATATGACTTAAGACGACGGTATATTTTTAAAACGAGATGGTATATTTTTGAGGGTCTGATTTTATACTTTATCGATAATTCCGCGGTCACACCGGCGTCAATGTTTTGATTTTTGTTTTGTTTGAATTTTGTTAAAATTTGATCTGTTCGTATGAAATTAAGCCATGCTATACTTGCTGGATCTACTGGCTAATGGCATACATGCAATTGCGAACTTCGTGTACTACTTTCTGTGGGGCAGCTGTTTCATAGGCTATTGCCTTGTGGAGGGCGGTATCCGTGCCTGGCATTTCATGAAATGCACCGGCTGCGAGCTCCGTCACTTTTACAACAAGCTGCACAACAACATTGTGGATGTGGTGAACTACTTGCAGGGCGGCACACGTGATGGCTTGCTGAATACAACAGCTTTCTTTCTATCCTGCGGCTCTTACTTTTGTGGCCTGCTGGAAGGCCTGGGCACAGTGGTACTGTGGCTGCTAATGCTGCTACCGCGTGCAATTATCACCATTCTCGACTATGTACTGGCCTTTGTGGTGGACACGATTCTGGCCCGCGGCTGGCGTCTAGTCTACAGTCTGTTCCATCTGTCGATTGGCGTCGCCCTGCTGCTCGTTCTCTACATGTTCCGACGCTACGTGTACCTGCTGCTCATCTACCTACTGCAGCGGACCCGCACAGAGCTCAGACGGAAAACGCTGAGCGCTTATCTGTGGACAGCGCACCAGCTGAGCCGAATGTGGAGAGTTGGTTCCAAGCCAGCCAACAACGATGGCGTTACACCCAGCAGCGGCGCCTGTGTGGTGTGCATGGAGCGTCGCACCAACATTGTAATCCTGCCCTGCCGTCATCTGTGCCTATGCACAGAGTGCTCTGAGCAGATGTTAAGGTACACGGACTTGAGCTCCGCTTGTCCCATTTGCCGCGAGTCCATTGATGGCTATCTGCGTGTGTATGTTTAACGGTGCATTGGTAGTGGTGTGAAAAACTGTTATACACGCGTGTACGTGTCGGCAGCGCAGCGGCAGAGCCTGCACAACCCAATGGACCACAAGACGAGAGCAAAGCGAAACTATCGCAAAATGTTCGTAAACGGACTTGGAAATAGTACAAATCTCTTTAGAGATTTTTATCATTTCTATATATTTTTATAAAACGATTTTTATAATTTCCAAGTGCCGTGCCGAGCCCTAGTTTAAGCCATATGACTCCTAACTGTAAATAAGACTGCTAATTCGAATTCGAAGCCACAATTAGACTAGTCATAAGTCAAGTTATGTATATATATCCAAAGATAAAGCACAAAAGGCAATATAAACCCTAAGAAAAGACTCAGGAATAAGACTAGAATAAGAAAATAAAGTCCAAACAGAGATAATGTTTTTACAAACACTTTCCAGTTAGCAATTCAATTGATTTAGTTGTTTTATTTCAAACCAATTAAAATATACGATTTGTGTTTTGTATACATTTATGTAAATACGTTTTGGTTTGTATATAACTAATTTGTTTTTAAAAGACAGATATAGAAAAAATGTTTCTTTTGTGTTTATTAACTTGTAGGCTTACAGTTTTTATTTTTTACATATATAAATGTAGTTCGAAATGAAATGATTTGCTTTGCAGAGTTAATTGAATTGCCCGATATACACTGTGTCCACATATATCATAACATTCAGATGCATATTGTTTGTTTTTGTTGGATACTTAAGACTTGAAAGCATACAAAAAATATACATACTATATAGCATATACGCACATTTATATATCTGCTTTAACTGTATACTTATAGCATCTTTAGGTTAGGATTTTTCCCTTTAATGTAGCTTAAGTTATCTCTGTTGTGTGTGGGTCTCTATCTGAGGGTGTATCAATTATGTATAACATTATCTTTCGAAAAGCCTTCTAACTGATCTGCTTTAAATTTAATTTGTGCCAATTTGTTGTTTAGATAAAGCTTTATGCGCTGCTTCTAGCTTAAATCTGAACTCTTATATGATAAAATATATACATAAACCATCTATCTATCTGCGGTGTAGATTTATTTCAAAATATACATTTACACTTCTATAGCAATGTTTCAAAAGTTGTTTACTTTCATTTAAAATCGTTTGTTTTATCGAAAAATTTCACGTTTTACGGTTGGTTGCAACTTGATCTCAAAAATATGAAATTCACCATGCGATATAAAATTACAAAAAGAACAATTAACCCAAAATATATGTGTATATGCTATGTTCCGGTTGTGGCTTTAAATATTTTTGTGCCAGAATGAACTTGTAAAAGTTGTAATTTCGTTTCTCTATTCAAAATATATCTGTATATAGTCGTAGTATGTATGAAAGGTTTCATGTAGGTTTCTCTTTCTTTTGTGTAGGTACAAAGTAGGTTTCCTATAACTAGTATATATCATATATATATGTATATGTATATGTATTATGTGGTGCATTGTTTGTAACGGCTATAAAATGGCATCATTTTGTGGGTTTCGAACCCGAACCTAACTTACGTCGCCCTTATTGGTCACCTAACTTGTTCCTTTTTTGTGTGTGTTTTATCCTGTTTTATTCCCTAACCGTTTTCCTAACCGTTACAAGTTTCAGTTTTTTTTGTGTAGTTTTCTTCTTTTAGTTGTAGTTTATTCAAAGTGCTTAATGTCCTTACATGTCTAAAACTTGTCAACTTTGTCATGCAAAATGTAATGTAAATGTTCTTATGCATAAATGTAAGTGTATATGTATAGCTTCAGCTTAGCCGCATGCAGATCATGGTTTATACTTAGTTTTATCTTCTCCTTCCTAAAGATTCGTACAAAATCTAGTTGTCTCGTCTGCAATAATTTATTAATGGTCTATCTAAATTGTATGGTTAGCGTATAGGCATGCCAATAGAAGAGATATGTTGATTCATATTCATGCAATTTAGTTATAAAAGTCTTGAATTTTACACATAGAAAAACGGGGGGGTTTTCCTCTAATACAAAACATTAATTTGGAAATTGTTTCATCTGCTGAGGGCTGTTGCATGTACTTTATAATATATTATTATTATTTGCTAGCTAGGGATCGTTATTTTGTTGTTTGTTTTGTTTTGTTTTGCTATCAAAGAAAAAGTTGTACGTATAAAATAAACCATACAAAAGTTAGACATAAAAATATATATATATATGTATAGTATCTATGTATATTTATGCATGTATTTGTATATGTACTATAGACATATATTTAGAGTTCAATGCCAATCTATCACAAAATCACATAGAGGGGGGTTTTCCTATCGAAATAAGTAGAGAGTGAACAAATGAATCGATCGATCGATCGATCGATAGATAGAGAGATAATCCATTCCATCCATTCGCCTTTTCTTTGAGAACTCAGTTTTGGAGTGGCTAAGATTAGGTAGGGTTTCACATTTTGTATAGTTTTTTATCGGTACAGATACGGGGGAATACTTAGTACTTATATGCCTAGAGATTAACAGTTAGATTTGTGTACTTATTTTTGCTAGATTTGTGTGTTTGTGTGCAACTCTCTGTGTCAGACACAATCATCACAAAAAGGTACTTAAACTCTCATTTTGTGCACTGGTTGAGTGCCCATCGATAAGTTGAACGAAAAAGTTGAACTTAAATGCTATTCCTAAGTCTAAGTCTCTATGGCTAAACTGTAACCCTAAATGTGGGTCAAGTTTTAGCACACTTATTGTAGAATTTACACAAATACTTGGTTGGGGCTTATGGGGGGTTTTATCTTAGCTGGAGGGCAAGCATGGCATTGCTACATGATATGATAGTTGAGATTTGCCAAAAATTCTAAACTGATTCGAAACTCTAAAGAGAAAGGCAAGAGAATTGCGGCAGAATTGTTCAGAAAGTATCCAATTTATGGCCATTCAACTATTTGCTAGTTTTACTCTGAGTTACTCTGGAGGGAACTCCTTCTAATATAAACTATATATAAACAAATAATAATCCTACAAATCTAATTGTGTAACGCTTAAAACAATTGACTAGAAGTTAGCAAAGATAAAAGGCAAGAGTGTCCGTTCGGTGTCCGTTTGGTGTCCGTCTGCATGTTGAGCAAGTAGCTTTGAGTTGAGTTGAGTTGAGTCGGCAAAAGGGTTGAGATTGGGAGAAAAGTGTTTCCATTGAAGTAGCTGCTTGGACTTGTGCCGAGTGCGTGCCTGCCTATTGATTTTGACAGTTGAAATTAAACAATTTGAACAATTAACGTCAACAAGTTGTAATTTCCTTGGCGCTGACACGAAGTCGAGCCGAGCCGAGCCAGCCAGCCGGCCATGGTATGGACTTCTTCAAATATTCATGCACGTAATTATCCAATGGATGGCCTGTCTATCCTCGAACTACCGATATGGCTGTCTGGCTGCATACTGGCTTGCACTGGGCCCAAGTTTTTTGTTTAGATTTATTTATTGGGGGGTTTTCTACTAAAGCTAGTTATGGTTTACCTAGTTCTTAGTGGCTGTAACTTAGTTTCTATGTTGAAGGAAGCAATGTTGTGTGTTGTGTGTTGTGGTTTGTGGTTTTTGGACTGCCTAGAAGGGCAATGTGGCGACGAACATGTTCTCAATGAGTGCTGGCGCTGGCACCAGATCCTCCAGCTTCAAGTAGAAAATCCGCTGCAGTCCCTGAACGCTGAGGGAGCGCAGCTCTGGAAGTTTGCCCAGCAGTCGGCTGAAGTAGTGCTGCTTCTTTTGGGCCTCGGCATTGTAGGTGACATGATCGCGCAGACTGCCAATGATTTTCATCTGCAGCTGCTCCACTTTCTTGGGCTCACGCAGGCCATGGCGTTCTAGGGGGAGCAAAGGAATTTATTTATCAGCAAAGAACTCGCTTTGGGTTTTGGCTGTAAGCCTTACCTGTGATCAGTGTGAGTGCGCAGAGACACGCAAACGCTGATATGTCAATCTCGAGACTGTGCAAACTTCGACTAAAGTCCATGATGTCGTTCAGCCACTCGCCAAACGATCGCTGGCACTGACTGCGATGCAGCACCGTGCCATTGCAGAAGATCATTTTGGTGTCGTCGCTGCGTGCGCGATAGGACAGCCGCAGGACGAACAGCTCCAGGGAGGCGGACTGAAAGAGCAGCTCCTGGTCGTCGGGCGTGAGATCCAAGAAGCCGGGTATCTTCTCCGCAAACTGCCTGATGACATCCACCGAAGTGGTCAGCAAATGATAGAATTGCTGCACCTTGTCCGCCTCACTCATCGATGGCTCCTCGTAGTGGGTGTAGTCCAGGCATGAGGGATCGGGCGTCGTGTCCACATGACTTCGCACTAAAGCAGTTATCAGCGAAATGGGTGGCGATGGGGGCGACTCTTGCGGGGATTTCGGCTTGGAGGGCAGCCGTCCACGACGTCCTTTCAGGGAGTCCGTGCGCACCACCTCCTTGACCATGCCGACGACCAGACACTTCTGGAAGCGACAGAACTGACATCGATTGCGTCGCCGCTTGTCCACGGGGCACATCTTGTCCGCCAGGCACACATACTTGGAGCCCTTCTGCACGGTGCGCTTGAAGAATCCCTTGCAACCCTCACAGGTGCGCACTCCGTAATGCTGGCAGGCGGCGGTGTCCCCGCAAACGGCGCACAGCTGGGAGGCCGCCTGGAGCAGTCGTCCCGCCTGGAGATCTGCCCCAGCGGCACTCGCCGGCGAGCTGGCCGCCGAATTGGGCGCCGAACTCAGCTGCAGCGGATGTGCATGGGCATGATGCCGCTGCCCCAGCGTGATTTTGGCCAGCTTGGGACTCTGGGCGGAGCTGCCCGCGGGAGAGACTGTACGCTGCACGGGCAACGAGGAACGACGCACGGGTGTGGGCCCCACAGAAGCGGAAATGGAAGCTGCTGCCGCTGCCTCCACAGCGGCTGTGGCCGCTGCCAGTTCCGAAATGGTGGGAAAGGTGGGCAAAGAGTAGCGTTCGCCATTGTGTGAGTTGTAGTTCTGCGGGGGGTAAAAGAGAGAGAGAATAGAAGATTGGATTAGTTGGGAGGGAAGTAGGTCTTGAATCTGCCAACTGCTAATCGATTTTTAGCTTTCAGGATGATCTCGGAGATTAGTTTTAGGATGATTTTTATGCGTACAACAAAAAGCGACTAAGCGCGGCCTGGTTAGAGCTTACAAATCTAAAAATAGAATTACGCTTGCATGTGTGAGCCACGCATAAAGCTGGACGTGCATTAGTGAGAACTTTTGCAGAGCGGGGTGGGGGTGGATCAAGAGCGCGCTCTCTTTGGAGCAAACTTTCAAGAGAGCTTGCAGCCGCTCTCTTCGAATTTACTTGTATGCACGTGCAAATCAAATTAACATTACATATGCATGAATGTCCAGGGTTTAAGTACTCTTCTGTTTTTCTTATATACTTAACCATTTCTCTTTTGTACTCACATGATAGTTGGGCTGCTGCTGCTGTTGTTGCTGCTGCTGTCCGTAGAAATTATCGGAGGCGGATACCCCGTTATACTCATAGAGGGAACTGGCCGAGGAGCTTGGCGATAGATTGGCGCTGGCATTCACTGCATTGAAGTGTCCGTGGTAGTTGTAGCCACTACTTCCCCCGTTGTTGTTGTTGCTGCCGCTGCTGCTGCTGTTGGGATGCGGATGGGAGTGCGACATCTGCGACTGTGTCTGCAGCGTGTGCAGCTGCTGGAGCTGGGCGGGAGCTGGTGCCGGACTGG